CCAGGTTCTGTTTTTGAGTGACAGATCTTTCTGTCGAAGATGAGCTAGTGCTCACACTGCCTGCGACCATCGCTCACGCACCTTTTCTTGCGCTAGACGCCACAGCGCCCTTGGGTGCTTCTGGAACAAGCGATGACTCCGCCCCACGCACCCTACAGCAGACCGCTCCCCTGGCTGATCTGCATGCAGGTCTTGGATCCGTTCCGTCATCATCTATTGGACCCGCTTCACACCACTCTGGCTCAGCAAGCAGCCCGACCCATTCAGATGTAGTCCACTCCCCGGATGGTTCCCCTTCCCTAGCAGACCCAAACCCCCTGGCTGCCTCGCCACCTCCTATCGTTTTGCATCACAGTGACCGCATTCCTGTGCAGCCTAAGCACCTGGATCGTTATTATACGGGAAGTGATGTTCATTTTGTTTGCTACCCCTTGTCAGCTCATGTTTCTTATGATAGTTTTACTCCTGAATATAGTGCTTTTGTTGCAGCAGTTTGTCAACACACAGAACCACGAAATTTTTTCGAGGCGGTAAGTGAAGAATGTTGGTGAACGGCCATGCCCGCGAGGTTCAAGCACTAGAGCAAAATGGTACTTGGACACTTGTTGTGTCACCTCCTGGTAAACGGGTCATTGGCTGCAAGTGGGTTTACAAGATAAAATTCTGCGCTGATGGAACGATCGAGCGCTACCAAGCGCGGTTAGTTGCCAAAGGGTATCGTCAGGTTGAGGGTGTCGATTTTCATGATACCTTTGCTCCCGTTTCTAAGTTGGTTACTGTTCGTTGTCTCTTAGCTGTTGTTGTAAGCAAAGGTTGGTTTATTCATCAATAGGATGTGAATAACGCCTTTCTCCATGGTGACTTGGATGAAGAAGTCTACATGCGTATTCCTCAAGGGTTTGCTGCTCCGAGGGAGACTTGAGTTTGTAAATTGAACAAGTCACTTTATGGTCTGCACCAGGCTTCTCGCAACTGGTATCATAAGTTTACGACATTTCTCTGCAAACTCAAGTTTCCCCCCCTCCTGCGGGCTACTCTTTGTTTGTCTTTTGCCGGGGGAATACTCATGTTGTGGCTTTTATCTATGTTGATGATGTGATTCTTGCGGGTACTAGTCTTGGGTTCATAAATCGAGTCAAGGCTTTCCATCATCAGCGGTTCAGCATCAAGGACCTCGGCCCCTTGCGTTACTTCCTGGGTATTGAAGTAGCTTGTGCCCCTGAAGGTCTGGTTCTCAGTCAGCGAAAGTATGTTCTTGACATTTTGGCTGACGTAGGCATCCTTGGATGTCTCCCTAGTTCCTTCCCGGTGGAGCAAAACCATCATCTCACACGTCGCGCACCAGCAGACTACCCTGATCTTGCTGCTTATCGTCGACTGGTGGGGCGCCTTCTCTACTTAACTGTGACGCGGCCCGATATCACCTATGGGGTCAATATCCTCAGCTAATTTGTCTATCCGCCCACTCAGGCACACATGGATGCGGCACAAAGGATCTTGCGTTATTTGAAGAATCCCCCAGGACATGGTCTTTTCTTCCCTACTACTAGCTCTCTCAAGCTCATTGGTTATTGTGATGCTGATTAGGGTGGATGTCAATCTACATGTCAGCCAACTACTAGCTATGTTTTTACTCTTTGTGGTGCGCCCATCTCTTGGCTCACGAAGAAGCAACGAGTTTTTGGTTGCTCTTCTGCAAAGGCCGAATACCGTGCAATGGCAAGTACGGTTAGTGAGATCATTTGGCTGCGATGGTTGTTAGAGGAACTTGGAGCTCCTCAACATGGATCGACACCACTTTATTGTGACAATCAGGCTGCACTCCACATTGCAGCCAATCCTGTCTTCCATGAACGCACTAAGCACGTCGAGATGGATTGCTACTTTGTTCGAGAGAGAGTTCAGCAGGTGACATCACTCCCTTAAAGATTAGTTCTCAATCTTAGTTAGCTAACATGTTCACTAAGGGCCTTGGTGCTGAGCGTTTTCATTTCCTCCTTTTCAAGCTGCGCGTTCGTAATTTTCACGTCCCAGCTTGCGGGGGAGTATTGGACCAGGCCCACTCATGGGCTGCCGAGGCCGCTACCGAGGCCAACGTGGTGACCAAGTCAAAAACTATTATCATAGGAGACTTAGCAGTTCCGTGTACTAAGTGGAATATTCCTTCTTCAGTTGCCCTAGTTGATTGTACCAAATGGTATAAAACCCATGTAAGGCCGCCGACCATGCTTGAATAACAAGAAGAAGAGAACAAACTGGATAGTTGATCTCTCCCGTAAACTAGTCCCGATATTAGGGGAAACAACCTTAAATCCGTGTCTTGCCGTTTCCGCATACCAATCTTGTCAAATTCTATATTTTTTGTCCAAATAAGGATCCAAGGCTTGTCAATTGCCAACCCTTTTCCCAACTTGGTTCCGCCCCTGCTCCCAGCAGCTAATAACTGTCTCCGCCAAGGAATCTTCTATATATCCCTTTTAGCAGGGCAGGAGTTTGCAAAAGGAATAAAATCTCAATTTCAATCTAATACCGATTGGGTTTATAGCATCGACGTATGTGAATTTCATAGTTGATTGTGTTACAAACATTCCACTTATTGCAATTCTTGTGGCATACTTAATATGGAACAATTATATGGTAAATCAATTACGAGAAAATATATTGAAGTAAATAAATATGTTTTCATTTCATATTTCAATTTTAAGAAGGGTTAATATTTTCGTATGGCCTGAACTTTGACCAAAATAAACATCATGGCCAATATTTTTTATCTATAACATCCTGGCCCGAACTATACACCAAAATAAACAATTTGGCCAGATCCGACTTTTGACCGTTAACGTGAACGGTCAAATGCGTTGACAGTTAGTCAACGCGTCATGTCACTGCAAAGTCAGCATGAAATATTTAAAATAATTCACAATTTCCACACATTCCCTAATTTTAAATTATTATAAATTAAAAAATCATCTAAGACCATCCCCAATGGTGCAAATGAGGTGAATTGCAAGCCTACGTGGCATAGGGATGAAAATGAGAAAGTGGTTTGCATTGATGTGGCATCATTTGCAAATGGTGCAAATTTGCACACCATCCAAATTGGTATGCAATTGCAACAGGGCCCCACCAATTTGTCTTTTCTTTCTTTTCTCTTCTTTCTTGTTCATTTGTTTTTTTCTTTCTTGCTTCCACCACCAATTATATGTTGTATATATATTTCTTTCTATCCTTCCTATCACATACACACATATGTATATGTATTCAGTTAATGGTAACGATAATCAAATTTGTATAAATAAAACAATACTACAAACAAACCTTAAAGATTCATATATACTTTAAAGTATTACATCTAATTAATACATCCGCAAAGTACAAATTGAAAAGAAAACACACTAAACACGTTAAGACAACTAATTAATACATAAATTGTTTTATATAATTAGTAACATTAAATTTATAATTATATTTATTGACTTTAATTAATATTAGTTATAGGAAGTTGCTAATTTAAGTTGAAAGGATATTATAATATTTTAGTAAAATGGTGGAGATAATATGAATATTGATTTGTATCAAGGTTGACAACCCGTGGGTTGACCCGGACCCGGTTGAGCTAGTGAGTCAAGGGTTAATGGGTCACCCGTTTTAGCTCGGAAATATGGAAAGCGTCATTATATTGTACTTATCCTGATAAATTATATCAAATCTCATCTAACATATGAGTTATAACATATAATATTACACCAAAATAACATTTCGTACATAGATTCAACATATAGTGAAAATTCACACACACTTATATAACATTAATATTCAAATGTTCAACTTAGGATTCTCAAGATTGAGTTAGGCGAAAATAACAATCGGAAAATAGGCGCATTTCGCAAAACAAAGAAAAAAATGACACAATTTGACCTCCAAACCTGGTACCTTGTGGCGGTTGACCCGGCAGGTGCGGCCCGTTTTTCTCACCGGGTCAGGGTCAAAGTGGGTCGACCCGCGGGTTAACAACCTTGATTTTGTATTAAAAAGTAAGCAGGACCCACAATTGCAATTGCAAGTGGATGGCATTGATGTAGGTTGTATGAAAATGAAGAGTGAGATAATTGTTAAAGTTGATGATGTGGTAGTAGGGACCACACTTGAAATTGCATGTAGATGACACCATTGGAGATGCTCTAATACCTTAGTTAAACCAAAAGTAAAAAACGACAAAAAAATTAAATATTTATCATATCTTCTGACTTGGCAGTGACGTGGCGCGTTGACCGTCCAAGTTAACGGTCAAACATCGGATTTTGTTTCTCAAGATACCACAACTTGGTTTCAACTAAATTTTTTTTATCAAATAAGCAAACTTATTAATATGGCCAAGGGAAGATAGAAACTCCCTAAAGTACGTATTGCAAAAAGCTCTTTATATTGATCATCGGTAGGGATGGGCAATGGATGAGTTTGCTGTGTTTTTGAGCAAAATTCACCCACCCATTGTTATGGTTGATGATGAAAACATGACCCACACCCACTCATTTCTATCATTGTGGGTGGGTGACAGTGGATGATGGGTGGGTTTGACAGTTTTGGTGGGTCAAATTATTTTTAAATAATTAGACAATTATGAGCCATAAAAGTTTGTATTAAACTAATTGAACATCAATACTAATCCTACCAAAAAAAAAAAGAACAACAATACTACAAATCAAAACATAGTTTACTGGATAATCTAACACCAATTATCTCATATGCGGACACAAAATATTTTGTTGATACTCATCATATTTTAAAATGATCGATTTTATATTGAAAATCACGTAAAATTTATAAAATATAATTGCAATTTAATTGAATCAATCACGATTGAAGTTTTAGTATAAAAAATAACATTTTATTATAGAATATGCATTTAACATTACTCAAATTATTAATTATTTTCGGGAGAGTTATAATCGGGTAGGTTAGGGTGGGTCTAGCTGTTAACCCACACAGCCCATCTCTAATCATCGGTCAAGAGTTTATGTTGACACAAATTATTTTCCAGAAAAGAAAAACAACGTAACTCTAACACATCAAGTAATTCCAATGCATGCTCAACTTATTTCTGACGAGCCCTTTTGCTTTAGCTGCTTTTGAGGAAACTTTAAAACATAAAACAACGGGCGTGAAAATAGAATTAAAATAAAAAAGAGGAAGAAGTAGAAGTAGTACAGTTGGAACATTAAAAACGATACAAAGAGCGAGCTGGCACAGTATTATTTCAAGGGAAAACTTCAATGACTGATCTCAGACCCAACACCGGTGAGATTTTGTAGTTGGAGAAGCCGGCGGCCGAGAAGAGCCGCTTCCACTGCTTCTCAGTTCGTTCTTTGCCGTTGACGAAGGCCATCATGAACAAGTCGAAGCAGAGCTGTACCTCACCAAAATTCCTCTCTCCGAGCCTCTTCTCGTCAACCACAACATCTATGATAATGAGCTTCCCTTTGGGTGACGAGATTGCTTCTTTACAAACTTTGAGTATCTTTATGCAATTCTCCTCATCCCAATCATGCAGGATCCACTGCATGCAGTATTAACCATTCATTCATCACTCTAATATTAGTAACAAATATTGTTATTAAGGTAATAAAATAATAATGATACCCACCTTGAGTAGAATGGCGTCAGCCGACGGTATGCTGACGAACATGTCCCCGCCAACAAATCCCAGATTCCCTTCACCCTTGAGATCCTTGACCACATGAGGAAGATCCAAAACGGTGCACTGAATCCCAGGAAAAGCTTTCGCGACAGCCGCCGCCATGGTCCCGGTACCGCCGCCCACGTCGACCAGCGACGTCACGCCGTCAAACATGTCCTTACACCTCGAGACGACGACCTCCCCGACCAGCTTGGAGTCGTTGATCATGCACTCGTAGAATCCGGACATCAGCTCCCCCGAAGGGTCGCGGCTCTTGAGGTAGTCCCAGAACGACGCCGTCCCGTGCGCGATCTCGAACGGGGTGCGGCTGCTGTCATCACGGAGCCACCTGTCGAGAAAGGCCCAGGGCTCCTGCATGAGCGGGTGGAAGAAGAAGAGCACGCTGGGCGTGTGCCTGACCGCCTTCTCGTCGCTGGGGCTCAGGAGAAGCCTCGACGACGCGTTTAGCGAGTACCATTCCTCGTCGTCGTCGTCGTCGTTTTGATCTGAGGCAGCCGGCGGTTCGGGGTTGAAGAAGCCGGCGTGGTGGGTGAGGATGCGCATGATGCAGCGGAAGGGCTCGGTCTTGGAAGGAGGGATTTGGAGGGAGGAGAGGAGGGCGGTGAGTGAGACGGCGCCGCCGTGCTTGTGGATGGCGTCGGGGACGCCGAGCTGGACGGCGCATTTGACGCACATGGAGATCATTTGGCCGAAGGAGCAGCTCCATAGACGGGCTTGAGCTCCCAGGATCTCATCATGGGAATCCACCGTCTTCATAATTCGTTTCTTTCTTCTTCTTCTTTGGGTGGTTGAGTTCAATGTTGATGAGAGTGTTTTGTTTGTTGAGTTTATATACAGACCAGAGAGATGTATTGGAAGGTGAAATCTGAGTGTTTGGTTTTGCGTAACCGCCACGTACAGCTACCACTATTTACTGCTAATTTAGGCCAACAAAATCTACAAGCATTAATTATATATAATTAATGTAACCTCTCCTTGTTGTAAAAAAAAAAAAAAAAAAAATTGTAACCTACTTACCTAAAATAAAAGTTGTATCCTCCTTCCCCAAACACCTGTTGGTCTATGGAATGCGTTAGGGTGGATACTGGATACTAATTTTTAGTAATCATTGTAGCTACCTATATATAAACCCTTCATTAGGGCTTAGGATAGGGCCAGTAACCATTAAGTACTGACCCTGACCTATGAGTAACTAAATATGGACCTTTAAATCTAAGTAAGCTCAGAAAATCCAGATCTAAGTGTTGTCAATTAAAGACATTTTATTTTCCCTAGTTTTCATAATTGACTCTTATCTTCTTCGTTCTAACTCGGATTTCAATTTTTTTTGCACACATGGAATGAGTTCGTTGTGCTCTACAAAATGAGATCAATTTTCAATATATTTCAAGAAACTTTTTTTTACCAACTACATACCATATGGTAACTTATTCGTTTTTAAGTCGTTTTTTAAAACGTTTGCTCAGAAGGAAAGAGTTCATCATGATCTATTGGATCTACGAATTTCTGGGTGTCAAAAATACTGGACAAAAAATTATCATACTTTACCACTATGGTATGTGGGTGGTAACTTGTGGTAAACAATGATGAAAGTCGTAAATGACAGTTAGTATACTCCTACTATCATGTATTCAACCTTCTTACCATATTGGTATGTTCATAGCATCATGGTACGCTTTCTTACTATATGGTATTAAATATGAACATACCATATGGTAATGACTGGTAAAAAATTATTCAAATTTTTTTGTACTAAAAATATATCAAAGTGGATATCATTTTAAAGAACACATTTAATATGATTTATCTGTGCAAAAAAATTAAATTTTGACCTAAAACGAGAGAGAAATCGTCCATTAAAGATTAAAAGGGAAAGATAAAAGACTTTCTAGGAGAGAAGAAATGCTGATGTAATGCGGATGTGGACAGGTTACTGAAGGTTACTCAATACTCACTATATGGGTTACTGACCTGATCCGCTCCCCTTCATTAGCTCTATTTTTCCTTTTTTTTTAATGACGGTCAAGATTAAATTAAGGATAGTTTGGGAATCAAAATATTATCACACCAGATTATTACCTATATTTATAACCTACCTTTCCCAACCCTATGTCTACCCTCTCCACCCTCCCGCCGGCCGCCTCCCTCACCCTCCCGCCGCCTTCACCTCAACCCACCCATCCTCCCTTCCCGCCTCCCTCATCCTCCCGCCTCCTCACCCTCCCTTTCCTCCTGCCTACAACTCTTACCCACCCTCCCCACCTCACCCTCCCTTTCCCCACGTCGCCCACCCCTCCTCCCCACCCCACGACCCTCTCTCTCTCTCTCTCTCTCTCTCTCTCTCTCTCTGCCAGCAGGGAGGAGCCGATGGCAAACGACTTGGGCGAGTACGGGACCGCGAAGGTCATCAAAACAATCGACAACGCTGGCCATCCTTTTATCTCCGACCCTCTCACCTCAATGGTATTATTTTTGTTGGTATTGATTTTGTTGCATTGGTATTGTTTTTTTCACATTGGTATTGATTATCATGTAATGGTATTAATTTGCATGTATTGGTATTAATTTGCATGTATTGGTATTGCTTAAATATGCAACGGTATTGATTTTTTGTGAAATGGTATAGATTTATATTGGTAGATTGTTTATAATGGTAGTTTTCGTGTAATGGTATAGATTTATTTCTGCAATGGTATTGATGTTTTCAAAGTGGTAGTGGTTGTCTAATGGATTGGTAGTGATTTCATGTTTTTTTCTTTTGCAGAAACATTGAGAAAAATAGCAAAGGGGATCTGGCTGGAGATTATGGAAGTGAGAGAAAGAGAGAAAATTGTAATTAATAAATTTTTGTAACTACCTAAAATGTAATTTATTAAAAAATTAATTAATACAATTTATCTTTTCATACCCAATTTACCCTTAGTAACCATGGTGATTACTAGAAAGTAGTAATCACTGTAACCTGTCCTGTTGGTCTATGTAATGGCTTGGGATAGGGTCAGTAGCCACTAGTTACTGACCTATCAGTAACCACACGGGAGCCATAGATCTGAGGGATGGAGCAATTGTGTGGCTGGGCTGGACGCGGGGGTGGGGAGGGGCATTTTTGTCCGTTTTTGTATTTTTAATTTTTTTTATTTATTCCGCATTTCAATGGCTGACTTTTCAATGAAAGAGAGAATGATCTTTTCTCTGCAACTCTACTTTTTTCTTTCTCTCTTCCTTTTTCTCAATATCTTTCCAGATCCTTTCTCTTTCTCCATTCTTTCTCTCTTACTTTTTTTTCTCACAATCTCCTTTTCAAATCTAGATCTCCTCTCTTCCTTCTTCATTTTTTTCTCTAGATGGATTGGTAGTCACTCTCTTTTATTGTGTTTCTTCTCTTCATCAACTCGTTGACTTTAATTCCGATCTTTCTCCTTTTTTTGGCGTTTGGTGTTCTTGGTTGCGGATGAAATGAGATGAGACAGAAGACAAGTTTTTTTCCCCCTTTCTTTTAGGTAATATTATTGGTATTACCACACTATACCATATGGTATTGTGTGGTAACGAAATATATATTGGTATTACCGCTCTATACCATATGGTATTGGGTGGTAACAAAATATATATTGATATTACCACACTATACCATATAGTATTGGGGGTAACAAAATATATATTGATATTACCACACTATACCATATGGTATTGGGTAATAACGAAATATATATTGATATTACCACACTATACCATATGGTATTGGGTGGTAACGAAATATATATTCATGTGGCAAAAAATTTCATACCACATGATATGCTCTTATTTAATGCCAGTCAATACCATATGGTACAATCAATACCATATGGTATATACTGGTAATAACTGACAAATTTTTTTGTATCCAAAAAATATCAAAGTGGATATCATTTTGAAAAGCACAATTAATCTGATCTAACTGTGCAAAACAAATTAAATTTTGACTTAAAACGAGTTAGAAATCGTCCGTTAAAAAAGATTAAGGGAAGGAAAACTAAGGGCATGTTTGGAAGTTGAGATTCTCCAAATAGATGCATTTAATCAATTCATGCATTATTATTTGATGTATTGATTCAATGCATGTATTAGGAAAATACCTAGTTTGGAAAGATAATGATTGAGCAAAAAGTAGGGTAGACAATCCCCTTGTTAACAATCTCTACTTTTTATAGAGATTGACAATCATTCATTTTGAGTGATTGTGAGTGGGCCAGGAAAAAGGTAATACATGCATTCTAACTCAAATTGAACAAAAAAAAAAACGACTTAATCTTATCATTACATGTATTGGCTAAATACCTCACTTGAAATCTCAACTTCCAAACGATCCCTAAATGTTTTGCGATAAGACAGAAGGAGGCACTGATGTGGTCCGGTCAAAAGTCAACGTCAGCAATAAATAGGAGTAAGTGTGATTTTATCGTACTGCCCTTTCGCATTTAATTTAAATAAAAAAGTGACTGACACGTGGGAACAAGGGAAGGGGATTACTGATGGGTTACTGACTCATCAATTACTTACCCGATCTGGACCCCTATGTAATGTCTGTACTTTGTAGATATTCTTTTCTTCTTCACCGTAGATTGCCTCCCTAAATCCCTCAATAAAAATTAGAATAAAAGATCTCTTGTGATCTAAATGCATTCAAAAGAGCAATATTGGAACGTTTTCCTGTTTGGTAATTTTATTATGATAAAATTCTTATGAAGAAGATTATATTAATAACCAATGTAGGTTAAAAATGGAAACTGCATAATAATATTTGAAAATCTATTATTAATTTTAGAATATCATGTTTGGAAACATTTTTGCTGAAACTTATGTGACATTTTGATCTTGGAGTTTGAACAACATGGGTTTCCGTTGGTTATGCTACAGATGATATAATACACTACTATATTTGTGTTAGTTATTACTATTCTAAATATTGGTTTGTGTGGAAGATACTGTCACACGACGTTTACCGTTATTACGATTTCGTATAGCAAGTTAAGAAAATGATATGTATGATGTATGTAACTTATACTATTAATTTGTATATAGCTCAATAGTGTAATAATCATAAATCAATGATTTTTAAAAAAAATCCAAATTATAAATCCCCCAATTTCATTTTCTCCTATAAAAAAAATCATTTTCTCACACCTAACTATTTTAATAATTAAACATTTTCCTCCAAATCTATATATATTTTCAACTCACCGTTGTCTTAAAGTTGGAAAAGGGACAAGGGAAAGTTGGAAAAGGGACGATCGAGAGGGAGAGGTCCATTTGCCAGAGCCATTTATGTTCTTCTTCTTACCTAGGGGAAGACAATTGAATGAATGCTGGGTCTATCGAACTCTCACCATGCACCCACACACGTGTACAAATCTTACTTTCCTCTTGGCGTAAAACAACACGTTGACCAAGCTTGTTTCCAAAGTAGCGGTTATGGGAAGGGAGAGGAGGGACAGAAGCATTTTTCAACTCTTTTGGACTAAGAAATGTTATAAATAAGATGGTTTCAATAACTCGAGTTGTTGGGAGATGTTTATATATGGATCTATATCACTTCTTAATACGTTTTTTCAAACGAAAGTCAACTTAATTATGTGGAATTGAAGTTTGCATAGTTAGAACATACCATATGTTTTAATCAACAATTAATATTGCCGGTCGTGGGACTTGAACATGAGACCTCACGGTCAAACCAGCTTTGGTATCATATTATAAATTAGTTGATTCCAATAACTCGAATTGTTGATCGGGAAAGGTCCATGTATGCATCTATATCACTTCCTAT